TTCGATGGTGATGGTTGCCTATGTTATGTTGCGACGGATTTCATTGTTTGGCTGGGGAAGGTCACGTGGATGCTTTCTAAAGATTCAGCTCCACCGGTTCTGTTTACTTTGTTTTGTACGAAGTACGAGTGGATGGGATGTTTTGAATGTTATTGTTAATGAATGTGTTCAGAGAGAAGAAGGATATCATGCTCCTAGCAAAATCAAAACCAAGCACGAGCTGCTGTAAATTGCACCATCTACATAGTATGGGGTATCGCTCCGAAACAAACAGACAAGAGGGCATTGCGTATATACGAATCCAAATCCATAATCAAATCCAAAATCAAATCCAAATCCCAGCCAAGGTACACGGAAGGTCGACACTGGATTGTATCACCATAAACGCGTCCTACGTATTCGTCGAGATGTCCGGGGCCTGGGTGAGCGTGCAGTGTGCAACAGTGTTCCACCGAGGCGAGTGTAAATATCCCGAAGCAAGTGTGTATCCTTGAGTACCACATATCACTCAAGATTGAGTATCATCAACCTTCTCCCACTCGCTATCAGTGCTGCCATAGCCCGACCCATCACCAGTGCTGAGCCGCTTCTTAGGATCGCGCGCCGTGGGCATCAACCCGGACGTTGCACTCCCGGTCGCGACAGCAGCAGACTTATCGTCTATCTTCCTAGGGACAAGGACTTCGGTTTCTGTTTCGCTGTCGGCGCTTTCTCCTACAGCGGGACTCTTCCGCGTTTTCGCGTCACCCTCCGACCCTTGTTTTTCTTTCTCCGCTTCCTGCGCCTGCTGGGCCAGTCGAACCTCGGCGGCGAACCAGTTGATGGACCACCATAGTCCACCGCTGATGATGGACAGGGCGACGAAATGGAGGCTGTAGGTGGCTAAGAAGAGGACAAGGAAGATAAGCTGGAGTGCGGCGAAAGTGACGTTGGTCGCAATCAAAAGGGTTGGAGTGGGTCCTGGGGTAAAGATGCTCGACCACAGGTCTTCCATGAAGGAAGCCATGATTTCAAAGTGAAGTGGGAAGTCCGAAGGTTGCAGGTTGGGAGTGGCGGGGGAGAAGTCGGGAACTGGAATCCGCAGGGGGGAAAATGGTTACCGCAATGGACACCGCTCAGGTTGGAAAGTGGACAACGAATTCCGATTTTCTATCAAAAAGAGCTAGATTGTAGATGTTGGAAAGCCTGTTCTCCTCTTTTTTTCCCCGTGGGGTATCTGGTTTGATATTGACAAGGTATCATAGGGATTCTACTATTATACCTATTGTCGCGATTCATCCAAAGGATCCTATCATGCCTATGTCTTACTGTCTCACACGACACTAACTACCATCACGGGATAAGATCGGCTCACAGGTCACTTGACTTTCCGAGTGATGTCCGGCCCGAGGGTGTTAGGGCTCGGTTATACGGTATACCTTCGATGCTGGTATTGTCCAGAACATTCCATGTGATAGGTGATGGTGATCTTTGCTTGAATGCCCGAGTGTGTATGAACTAGCTATACCTATAGACACGAATACGAAAGACTGTATAAGCTTATCAATCTAATAGAATAGGAGCTAGAGCAAATCGGCTGTACGGAGTATGCCCTATGACTCCTTGGCCTATGCCTATTCCGTATGCAAGATATCCCGGTCCGGCCAAGCCACAAGAAATGTCAAGAATGGTTCTGGGGCTGAGAGAAGTCTATCTGTCAAAGGCCGAGTATAGGCCCAGAGGAAGACAAGCGTCCTTGTACCATGCCAATAGCCGCCACCAATTGACGACGTGCTATTATGTCTCTTCTCCGTGTTTTCCCCACAATCCTATAGCGCCGATCTTCCCCAAACCCGCTGGCCGAACCGCCTAGCACTCCGTCATCTACCCCAACTTGGATATCACGCCTTTGTCTCATTGGCCTTTTGGACCGGGGACCCCCCCAGACTTCCTATAGGTCCCGATATACGGAGGGAACCGACCTTGTACACTACCCCGGTTAGGTTACTGGGGGAAATGGGTATAAATATCGCCGGAATGCCTCCGGGTAGAGTTTGAATAGCAGAGCGTTCTTCCGCTTCAAAGAAACATAATCTTCAAGTTTCTTCAAGTTTCTTCCAGTTTCCATTCAAAATGACTGATGATATTCCTAAGAAAGATCTATCCGATGAACCAGTGGTAGAGGGCTTCTCTCACCATGCCGACGACATTAACTCAGACCGCGAGCCCTATGGCCCACCCGGTCTGCGCGGTCTGGTTGCCAGCCCATTCGTGGTCCTGTGTGCCGCCTGCTCAACGCTAGGTGGTTTACTTTTTGGTTATGATCAAGGTGTTGTGTCGGTGATTCTGGTCATGGACCAGTTCCTGACGGAATTCCCGCGGATAGATGAGCATAACCCGGGCTCGGGATTTGCGAAGGGATTGTTGACGGCCATGATTGAGCTGGGCGCTTTGATTGGTGCTCTCAATCAGGGCTGGATTGCGGATAAGATCTCGCGGCGGTATTCGATTCTCGTCGCTGTTGCTATCTTTACTGTTGGCTCTGTCCTTCAGACTGCTGCCATCAGCTATCCCATGTTGACGGTGGCCCGGCTGATTGGTGGCCTCGGAATCGGAATGTTGTCGATGGTTGCACCATTGTACATCTCCGAAATCAGTATGTAATTTCTTTTTTTTTTTCCCCTTCCTCACACACATATGACATGAATACTTATTCCGGTCTCTCCTATTAGGTCCCCCCGAATGTCGTGGTACCCTCTTGGTTATGGAAGAATGGTGTATCGTCCTCGGAATTGTCATTGCCTTTTGGATTACCTATGCCACACGATACATGGACGGTGAATGGGCCTGGCGTCTTCCTTTCCTGCTCCAAATGATCCCGGGCTTTATCCTCGCTGCCGGTGTATACGCTCTTCCGTTCTCGCCTCGTTGGCTAGCTTCAAAGGGTCGCGATGAGGAAGCTCTCGACAGTCTGTGCAGACTTCGTTGCCTGCCACCTTCCGACAGACGCGTTCGTCAGGAGCTCATGGATATCCAGGCCGAAGTGCGCTTCCACCAGCAAATGAACCGGGAAAAGCATCCAGAGTTACAAGGTGGTGGCACAAAGAACTCCATTCTGCAAGAGATTTCGTCGTGGGCCGATTGCTTCAAAAAGGGATGCTGGCGTCGTACTCACATCGGTATCGGACTCGGATTCTTCCAACAGGTGAGTTCTTTGAACGTGGAGATAACCGACACATGCTAATCATATGGATAGTTCATCGGTATCAACGCTCTTATTTACTACTCCCCAACCCTCTTTGCCACGATGGGTCTCGACACAAGCATGCAACTTATCATGTCCGGCGTTCTCAACGTCGTACAGTTGGTGGGTGTCACTACCAGTATCTGGACCATGGACGTTGTCGGTCGTCGCAAGTTGCTTCTAGGTGGCGCAGCCCTGATGGCCATATCACACATTGTTATTGCTGCTTTGGTTGGAATTTACTCGGATGATTGGCCGTCCCACAAAGCAGAAGGGTGGACCAGTGTGGCCTTCCTACTATTTTATATGCTTGCCTTCGGGGCTTCCTGGGGTCCTATCCCATGGGCACTGCCTTCCGGTACGTATCTTTATTCTCTTATGGTGTTAGACAAGCATCAATCTGACATTTCTAGAAATCTTCCCTTCTTCCCTTCGTGCCAAGGGCGTTGCGCTTTCAACTTGCTCCAACTGGCTCAACAACTTCATCATTGTAAGTTTCTCGCTACCATTATTCGGTCGCTCAGTGTGTCAAGCATACTAATTATCTCTGTAGGGTCTCATCACCCCGCCTCTCGTCCAAGACACCGGCTACGGTGCTTACGTCTTCTTCGCCGTCTTTTGCTTACTCGCCGGAATGTGGACTTACTTCTTTGTGCCAGAAACCAAGGGCCGAACCCTCGAGCAGATGGACCATGTGTTCAAAGACAATTCTAGCGAAGAAGAAAAGGCTAAGAGACGTGTGATCGAGAACGAGCTGATTCGTGCCCAGTATGAGAATGCGCACCGGGAGTTTGCATGAACCAATCTGTCTCGCCATGTATATAACAATTGAACACTAGCGCTCTCTCTCTCAGATACCCATTGTTTCACCTTAGCATAAATTAGGAAATTCTACGATATTATGACTTGCATGAGTGAAAAGCAAATAATTGATTATCCACCCGGTACTTGCCCAGCGTGGCGAAGACCCGAGCCGACATCCGCGAAAGCTTGAAAAGTCCGGGGGAACCTCTGATCCTATGTTGATGAAGTGCTTCGGTAGCGACTGTTGCGAGACTGCCAAAATGTTCTGATATATGGGGGTGGGGGTCTGTTCGCCTGGAAATCGTCGAAAGTGACGACATTTTTGAGATCGGTCATAGCTGGCCGTGTTGCTAGGAAGTGAGCAGCGCCGATGTAGTTGCAGCGTTTCTCAGGTTCCCTCCCTGTCCGGAATTAATTCCCAGTTACCCGTTGCCACCATGGTAAGCTACCATCCTACCATCGAAAGTTGATAGGGCAGAAATTTGAATGAACTATGGCCGGCGCAAGGCCATGCGATTCGTTAAGTTAGATTCCCCGAGGAGCTACACTTGTTTAGCTCTCTCCTAAGAGAAAAGCACAAACGTCAATATTGAGAAGGCAAGATAATTCAGTCCATGTCATGTGACTTACCATTCTGTTCGCGATGGAGGATTTTTTGCACGAAGAAACGCTATCACCAACCAAGAGCGAAAGTCCCAGCGAAACGAACTTAGCAAAGTGTATTTCTAATTTGACGATGTACTACACCCGATTTATTGGAATCCGCTATGTACCACTTTGACCCACTTAGAGTGGCCCACTCAGCACAACCTTAACTCAAAATAACGTGTCATTCCGAGGTTAACAAATAACCTTAGTGCTAAGCTAAAAAGCCATGGTATCTCTTGTTCGTAGGTGCAAACTCTCTGTTCCCCTTTAAAACGCCGCAAATGGTCCGGACGACTCCTGATATAGAATGCAAGCCAAGATAAGATCATAAAACACCATGACGCGCCTTGAAAATTGATACCTTCTCGTCGTAGAATAGAATCTCCTGTAGCCGGTAACGAATCCGCGAATCACCCTGTTCTTCGTCAGGTTCAGTGTCGTAGTCGTCCGGGTCACTGGAAAGGAGGTCTGTGTCAGCTGCCCCCGAGGCATCGTCGGAATCATCGCTGTCTCCTTCAGATTCGTGGTTGGGGTTGGCCCACCCTTCATCCTCATCTTCACTAAGCGCCGGGGAATGTTCAATCGCGGGGTTGTCGTCGAAATCTAGTGGGTTATCGTCATGTCTTGCTTCAAGGATTTGGTAGCATTTGATGTGGAGACCAATGTAGGCGATCTTCAAATCTGGACGTATGCTGACGATGTCCAAGACTTGCAGCGCAAGCTCTTTCAAGTCCCGATGGACACTATGATGAATGTGTGGTAGATACAAAGCATGAAGCTGGGGCATGTTTGGCAATCTCTGGAGGAAGAAATGCTGCGGAGTCATCATTAGCACAAGCACAAGCCCCCAAGGTGTGGTCAAAGTATCCAATGCTGGTGATCGTTTTCTTACCCAATCGCGATAATGCATCGCTATTCCCAGCTCTTTCAGCTGCGGCATCTTTCCACTTGTGACAAATGATACCATATCGTGGGTGAACATCCACTTGTGCCATCGTATGCCTGAATATCCAGCGCCGATTATACGGTCAGTGGCGTCAATCAACACCTTTCGCAGACTCCGCCTGTGCTTTCGCAGAATGTGCTTGTAAATAGCGTCGATATGCACAGCAGATTCATGACCTGGGGCTTCATGCAAATAAACACTCTCCAGGGTATTCGGAGCCAGCGCATCTTTGATGAACAGTATAAGATAAGGCGAAACAGTGTCCGTGCGAATATGTTTCAAATTTAGTGGATATTCAGCTGAGCTGGCGTTTGCTCGACGCTCTGCATCGTGTGGACGTTTTGCCGGCGTCGCAGGAGGAGCATACTTCCGACGGAGAGCCCTCCAGAGCTTTTCATGATCATCGCATCGCATGATAGTGAGAGTAGTCAACCCAGTCCAGTCGACGGCCGGCAGTAGGGTTGGCACAGAAAGAGGTACGCGTTCTAGCTCGAGTACTTTGAGATGAAGTATCTCATAGTCGGATTTGTAGGGAGGTGGCTGTGAGCGGGCGCTCCGGTTGGACAACCCAGAGCTTGATGGGGACTTCTTGTCCTTGGTGGTGCTGGGAGGCTGCTCCTCGCTATTTGGAGTCAATGGAGCTGCACTTTCGGTAGATTTTAGTGACTTGTTTATCGAATCCTCGGAGGGCATCGATTTATCTTCAAGGGAGGCAACTATAACATTGTCCTGCTTTTTGTCAAGGTGCCGCCGCGTTAAGATGCCAAGTACACCATCAGCTCTAGGCCAATTCGTTGAGCCATCAGAGTCCTTCCCACACAACAGCCACGGACTCATATGGGCCTTTTCGGCAATACCAATGCGGAGTTCGGACAGACGGAAACGTGAACGCTCAATGAGAAGTGCCAGCTCTTCCACATAAGCGGGTTCATCTATGTCAAGAACAGCCACATTCTTGAGTGGAGGCAGTACTGACAAGGAAGGATGTTCCACGTGTTTGTATTTCTGAAAGAGCCTCGTTGCCGCCGCCGACGAACTGCGTAAAGCATTCTCCGAATTGTCATGCCAGCGCACCCAAATGCGCTCCAGGCGACAATCGTGTCCTGGTCTATCTGCCAACGACGCAAGCGCGAGCCAAATTTCACGGACCACTCCAGTCGGCATGTCCCAAACGAAGGCTTCGAGATTCACCATCCGTGCAACTGCTAAAGCGACTAGCGTCCCTAGCATCTTGCCCACTTCTTTGGTCACCGAGTATTCTTGTACCCAACTGAGCGGGCCATTTCCAATAGAGAATGTGCGGGTATACTGTGCATAATGGTTGCCTCGTCGCGACCGGAGCCGAACTCCATTGTCCCCAGGGTCCGGGTCAGGCTGAGGATGAGGCTTATTGCAACCGCAATTCACGCAGCTATTTTTGACCTGGTCAGATTGAAACAGCGCAGGCTGATTAAATACATCCTCGCCCATGACCAATGTGGACAAACCATAAGACAGAGCGTCCACCCCCGAGTAGTCATCCGTTGATGGGTTCAGCGACTCAGGCCAGACGATGTCGAAACGGGAGTACATGTGCGGAATGGCTAAGGAATGAAGAGACGAGCATGTAAGAGCGAGCGAGGTCAGATCAGTCGTATGGGTCACCTATTGTACACCAGGACTGTAAGCTATCTATTCACGATCTGCGGGGAAGACCAGTGTTACCTCTTTGATGATCTCTTTTAAAACATCCAAAGGTAAGTCCAGTAGCTGCAGAGGCTTTTTGGCCATTTCAAGTTCTGGAGGAGTTTGAATTAGGTCTTCCATGTGGGGTGTTGTTGGAGTCGCGTCCTTTCTAGAGGATTGATTCAAGTCCTCTTGCTCTAAGTGCAACTTCCCCAAAGCCAGCGTCAAATTTTGCTTGGCAGGACCTTCAAGCTCCCTTGAAGCAGTGCTTGGGCTGGAAACAAATTCCTCTTCATCCGATGACAAGGCGAAATCGACGTTAGGCTTATCAGCCCAATCCAAGCTGGCGCCTGCCATTAGACAAGTGGGGATCCCTGTACGCTCACGGAGGTAATAAGGCACAAAGGGTCGGTGGCGAAGAACATCTCCAGCTAGAAGCTGAAGATAACAGCACCCTAGCAGTTCCTTTGTTTGGATATGTTTGTTTTGAACAAAGACAGTCAAAGATGATGAACAAAGAGAATCTGGGGTAGCCACCGGCCCTGGAGCTCCCGGGTGATCATCTGGTCCATTATGTAAGCATTTGTCTTCACCTCCAGGCTGGCCTAGGCCGATGATCTATATTTGCTACATTGGCTACATTGGCTACATATGTATTGGACAAAAAGGTACAAAGTTGTATTTTTTTCTATCTGTAAGCAGAAAATTATAGAATTGCATCAAACAAATTCTGGGGTTCAAAAACAACAGTATCATAGTCAGTCTATAGTTGTTGCCACTGAGAGAGATGACTCTATTCGCCGACTCGTCCACTTCTTCCCAGATTGATTGCAGCGCTAATACAAGCCAGGTGGCTGAAAGCCTGTGGAGAGTTGCCCATCTGCTCACCAGAAATGGCCACTTCTTCAGAAAACATGCCCAGATGATTCGCGTAGGACAGGATGTTATCGAAGTGCGCAAGTGCGAGTTTCCAGATGTTTGGAATAGCCACATCATATTTGGCAGCCTGTATTTCCAGATTCAGCTCAGGTTAGCATAGTTCAATGTTGCTTTTTTAGGTAGTTCCATAGAACCTACACGAGCCATGGCTTCGACAAGCCAGAAGGTTACCATGATGAAGGCACCCTCACCCCCTGTCATACCTGTGAAACGCGAGTATCAGCACTTGTTGTAGAGCTCTAATAGACAAGAGATACCTACCATCGTTGGCTTTCTTGTGGTCATATCGGAACACCATCTTGGCGCTGGATAGGCCCTCCTTCTCGGGGCTTTGCAAAATCTTCTTCAGCGTGCTGATGAACCGCGGATCATTGGGCGCAACGAAGAATACCAAGGGTGCAATCAAGATAGATGCATCCAAGACCTCGCGACTCTCATAACTCTGGCAGAAATGGCCACGCTCTTCGTTGTACCCTTTGGTCATGATTTCGTCGTACATCTCGTCACGGACCCGGATCCATTCAAAGCGATCCGGGCATGGCAGGCTAGCACGCTTCTCGGCAAGGCGGATTCCACGATCCAGGGCCACCCACATCATAATCTTCGAATAGATAAAGTTTTGGATCTGACCACGCGATTCCCAAATGGACATATCCTTCTGGTTCCGAACACCGATGACATAGTTAATCATTCGCCGGATAGCGTTCCATTGGTCATAGGTGATAGGGTTTCCGTACTTGTTACACAGGTAGATACTGTCCAACAATTCACCGTAGATGTCCAGCTGTGTGTGGAAAACGGCAGCATTGCCAATGCGAACAGGTTTGCTGCCTTTGTACCCATCGAGGTGGTCCAATTCCATCTCGGGAATGTCGTACTCGCCTCGGATAGTGAACATCAGCGGCAAGAAGGGCCTTTTGCTGTTGGGTTCCTGATCTTGGCAAGCATGCGGGAAAACCCGCTCGAAGATGAAGTTGACATACGCTTCCGCTTCTTCGCTGTAGCCCATTTTGAGAAAGACATACAGCGTGAAGGCTGTGTCACGCACCCAGGAATATCGATAATCCCAGTTTCTGGAGCCTCCAACATTTTCGGGAAGCGAGAAGGTGGGCGCAGCGACAATTGCACCCGTGGGTTTGTAGGTCAACAGCTTCAGAATTAGGAGACTGCGCTCGACTGTCTCTCGGTAATGACCACGGAAGGCACATTTGCGTGTCCAATCGGTCCAATAGTCGGAAGTTTCCTCCTCCATTCGCGCGAGGTAGGCTGCAATGGTGGCCGAGCTGGGGACAGCCTTCTCGGGACTATGCAACACCAGATGAAGGGTCTGGCCCGCCGACAAACGGATCCAGGCCACCAATCCGCGGCCACGGAGACCCTCTCGTTCTTCCAGTTTCAAAGATGCCGAGGGGAAACCAAGCTTATCTGGCTCCCGTGAATCGGCAAAGATCTCGAGTTGCAGCCGCTCTGTCTCACTCTCGAAGTGGACGGTCTGCAGCCGGTGCTTGTCCAAGTCGTCTTCTAGCTTTGCACGGGTATTGTGCGAGTCTCGTGCATAATTAAAAGCAGGGAATAACTCCACTTTCAATTCCATTGAGCCACGGCTACACTCCAGCTTTCTGATCAGGCCCGAGTGCTGCAGTCCCGACTTGAAGCGATTGGTCCCCGGTTCATTGCAAGGACAGTATCCTGACAACAACCGGGACGACTGCGCCGCCTTTTTAGGTGTGACAGGAAAGTAGTCCAGCAGCGTCGCGACGCCATCCTCATCGGTCCACCTGGTTTCAAGCAGGTTCGAGTATGGAAGATACCGCTGCTTGCTGTGAGCATCTACTACCGTCTTGTAGGGCTTCACGGCGAAGAAGCCTCCTTTCTGGTTGTCCAACAGACGACAGAAAACGGTAGGAGAGTCAAAGACTGGCCAGCACATGTAATCCAAACTACCGTCCTTGCTGACCAGGGCACAGGTGTGCATGTCCCCGACCAGGCCATAGTCCTCAATGGCATTGTACGTAGGTTCAGTCATGATGGCAATGCGAGCGAATTATCTAAGAGATCTGATGCAAGTTCAGAAGACTGGTGAAGTTTTTGATGAAGATCAAATGCTGTTTTGCAGCATCAACCTAAAGAAGATGGAAGAGAATAAGATGAAGATGAAGAAGATGAAAGCAGAGGTAGATGCAATGCTCCGACATATATTATTCCCGAGACACGACATGATGATGATAATGGTTGGATCTGAGGTCATGGCTATGCTGGGTGGATTAGGGCTTCTTCTTTTTCATAGGAGACAAACTTGATGAGCTCGACGAGAGACCGATTGCCGTTTCTCAAAAAGACTCATATTGAGACTGAAAGCCCAGCCTTTCCTGTCACCAACGAACTATGTCAATCCGAGGCCACCGCGGCAAGTGAAGTGTTTGTGGATGTTGGGCTTTCATTCACAGCTCGCAAGTCAAGGCCGGAGGTTTCAGTCCACTAATGAGAATCGAAACCAGAGAAGATCCCTCAGAGCTCTCCAACCACTCAGACCACTCGAACCAGTCAAGATCGGAAATATCGGAAATAATCGAAATATCTGAAATATCCAAATCCATCTCGATATTCTTTTTTCTCCCTTGACCCCGGATCGACCGGGCAGTGGAGACCGATATAGAAAGTGTAACCAATGAGAGGAATTGTTGTTGAAGGAAAGGAGGGAAAGGAGCGAGAAAGGAGAAGAAGAGCGAAAAGAGAAACATCACCGCCCTTCACTTTCTCGATTTTTGCCATTCCTCTGAATTTCCCTGTAGACTTCACTTTTGGCCATTTCCCTCATTTTCATTTCTTTTCGTTCTATTTTCCTTTTGGTTTGAGCTCTCACTTGGATCTTCCTTTCAAATTAACTTCTTCCCTTCGGATCCTCCCCTCTTTGTTTCTTTGTCAGCAATACTCCCCTACCCCGAGGCTTTTCGCCCTCGTGTACTGTCGTGTGACACACTTTATTCCCACGTTAATGGAGATACATCTCGATTCCTCTCTTTCATTTTATACCTCGTAACTGTCCCAGTTATAAAAATGGGGCTCTCCGACGGCGCCCACCACCGTCGGCGAAGCTCCATGGTTACCGGGACAGGGCGAGCCTCACAACCGATTTCGACAGAGCGCAATGACACACTCTGGTCGCATGGAGACGGAGGAAGTCACAAACGCGAAGAACAAGAACCTCTGACCGCCGAAGAGGATACCGATGCGTCCGATGTCTTATCCGCTGCAGAGACTCTGGAGTTGGACCCGATGAGTTCGGATGATGACCAATATGACGAGGAAACCGGACTCACAACACATCAAAAACGCCAGCGACGTCGACGGCGAAAGCAGCGCCGCAAGTTGGATGCTCGAATCGCGGACGTCAAGAGCCATGGTACTATTCGTGAGATTCTGTCGGACAGAAATGTGGTCAAGAAGCTGTTAATCAACGGCGGGCTGATCTTGCTATGGTATCTCTTCTCACTGTCCATTTCAATAGTGAGTGGTTCTTTCCAGTATATTTGGAAGTCGAGAAGGAAACTAACAACTGTCGTGTTTGCAGTACAACAAATGGATGTTCTCCGAGAATGATGTCGTCTTCCCTTTCCCTCTTTTCACAACGAGCTTACACATGGTTGTCCAATTCTCTCTCTCCTCTATAATACTCTGGATCTTTCCATCGCTCCGTCCACGACGACCGGTAGGGTCTGCGGCTACATCTCCCATCGATGGCCCCGAGGAACCACAACCCCTCGTTTCCAGATTATTCTACTTCACTCGCCTCGTTCCGTGCGGTGCAGCAACGTCGCTTGACGTTGGTCTCGGAAACATGTCCTTGAAGTTCATCTCTCTGACTTTCTTAACCATGTGCAAATCGTCTGCACTTGCCTTCGTCCTGTTATTCGCCTTCCTTTTCCGTCTCGAAACGCCTTCGACAAAATTAATCATCATCATTGCCACCATGACAGTAGGTGTCGTGATGATGGTCGCTGGAGAGACAGCTTTCAATGCGCTGGGCTTCGCACTTGTCATTGCCTCTGCGTTCTTTTCGGGCTTCCGATGGGGTCTGACACAAATTCTGCTGCTTCGCCACCCGGCTACTTCCAATCCATTCTCAACTCTCTTTCTCCTGACTCCTATCATGTTCCTTTCGCTCATCACCATCGCGCTATCTATTGAGGGTCCTCGTGAGATTTACCAAGGATACCTCGCGCTCGCCAGCAAACATGGGAACCTATTTGGTTCGTTCCTTCTGATTTTCCCTGGAGTACTTGCATTCTGCATGATTTCCTCCGAGTTCGCGCTTCTAAAGCGTTCCTCGGTTGTCACCCTCAGTATTTGCGGTATCTTCAAGGAAGTAGTCACAATCAGCGCCGCGGGCATTATCTTCCACGATAAGCTCACAACCGTCAATGTGACCGGTTTGGTCGTCACTATCAGCAGCATTGCAGCGTACAATTACATGAAAATTTCAGGAATGCGCAACGAGCTCCCGGAAGATGATTGGAGTCGCGAGTCCAGTCCTGCATCTGACACCGACGAAGGTGAGCATAGCACTGGCGATCCGGGGGATTATCGTCAAATTGCCTATCCGGACTCCAGGATCATTAGCCCTGCACCGGGTAGTTACCTTAACGATGATCACCATTCATCATCAGCCCGGGTACGTTCCAGTGGTGCCAGGCGTGGTCTCTCAATCTCGACTTCTATTATTCTAGAAAACGATGGTCCTTCTCTTAAATCAGCACCTGCGACTATCACTACAATGGCCGAGGCAGGGTTTCCCCACTTGCATGCCCCTGCTCGCCAAGCGTCGCCGGGCCTGCAATCGAGCTCGTCTGTTTCGCCAATTCGGGATCAAAATGTCCCCCAGCACTAGCATTTCACACTCATTCTTAACTACACCTCTCCTATCTTCATTTACCTATATTGCACATGCATGTGATTGTCTTTTTTTTTTATGTCACCTATACTCTCTTCGATGTTGGAGGGTCTGTGACCTACTCGAGGAGATCCTAGTGGCTCTTGGAATCGCATGTCTACTTTCGCAGATATGAATTGGTCGAACTCTCGATTGACCGGAACACAATTTCTTATTTCTATTTGCATGAAGGGGCTTGTGCGGATTTTGGCTTTGGCTTAACTGATACCATCAATTGAATCGACTTTTCTACTTTCAACAGCTATTATAAGGGCTACATTTTGGCGGTTTGTTTTTTGAAACCCTGAGAGTGGTTTGTTTTTTGAAACCCTGAGAGTGTTGTAGTGATTCTATCCTTCATTATTATCTAGTCCTCGGGATGATGTAGAAAGTACAGAGACACCCAGCAAGTATTCCTCATCGCATTGCCACCCCTCTGCTCTGAGCTCAAAAAAGAATACATGTCTACTCCTTCGCAGCGCCACTCTTCATCATGTCCATAAGACTCTTCTGTCCCTTAGCCTTTCCTGGTCCCTTCGCCTTCTTTTTCTCGTCCGCTTCGAGCTTACGCTCATACTGCTCCTGATGTTTCTCGCGCTCTGCACGACCCTCCTCCGAAAGCCGGGCCTCAAGAGCCCGGAACTCTTCGCCCTCCGGGTCCATACCAATCAGCGACTCAAGTAGTTTGATCTCACCCACCCACACACCCGGATCAGGAACAGCAGCTGCGCCTGCACCAGCAGGTCTCTTAGGACCCTTCTTTGGGAGTTTCTTTTTCCCAGACTCACTCTCACTCCCATCAGCCGCATCGTCTCCAGTAGCTACATTCTGTCCCGGGACACGGTCAATAGGCGTCTCAAGGACCATAGGTAGCCCTTCAAACCGCGGCTCGTTCATGACATTGTGAAATGCGCGCAGACCGAGGAACCCCGTGCCGATATTAGCATGCAGGTCGCGCTTGCTTCCGCGCGGTGCCTTTGAGTCATTGAGATGCAGAGCTCGGAGGAACTTGATACCGATCAGCTCGTCGAATTCGGTGAGGAAGGATTTGAACCCGGCTGGGGATGTCAGATCGTAGCCGGCTGCAAAGCTGTGGCAGGTGTCGACGCAGATGCCGATGCGGGAATGGTGCTCTTTCGGGATCAGAGCTAGCAAGTCGCGGAATTCAGACAGTGCACCGCCAATTGTGTTGCCGTGACCGCACATTGTTTCCAGGACGGGAACTACGGTTGTCGTTTCGGTGATAGCTTGGACTAACATCTCTGCTAGCCGGGAAAGTGCTTCGGGTAGAGGTGTCTGATTGGTACTTCCGGGGCTGGAGGGCGTCAGTATGCGTTGATATGATTGGCAGGCGGTTGACTCACTGGAAGTTGTAAAGTGTAATTCCAAGTGCCTCGCACCGGCGCAGATCATCCAGGAAGGAAGTGTATGCTTGCTTGGATTTTACTTTATCGCTTTGGGCTAGATTGACAAGGTATGAACCATGAGGCAGAACGTGTCTGGGTAGATGTTAGTGATCCATTCGAGTCCAATCAGATGGGGCATATTCACTTGGTTGCATCATATCCCTTTTCTGCGCAAAGTTTACGGAATTGATCGCGCTGGTCGTCCGGGAGAGCTGGGTTGTCCCATTTGCGCTGTGACTTCAAGAACAAGGCAAATGCATTTCCTCTAGTTGCAAGATTAGAATCTATTTCAAAATTGGATGTAACTGAAAGACACTCGAACTTACCCGATATTTTCGCTATTATATATCGAATTAAAGACACCTGCTCGATAAGAATTGAGTTATTATCGAATTGAGACGATGAGATGCGGAGAACACTGACCTTTTGCAGCACTGACATGAGCGCCAACGAACATACGCAGACCCTTAGTCCGCGGTGCCAGAGGCATAGTCTCAAGTTCTTGGTCTTTCTTAGACTTTCTCGCCTTTTTGGGTTTGGCGTCTTCATTGGACTTCTTAACTGGAGCCTTCTTTTTCTTCTCCTTGGCAGTATCAACCAGAGGTTTGTCGTCAACCTCGTTTTTAACTGTAGGAGTAAATTCTTCGGCCTCTGACTCCGAGGCTTCTGGAGAAGAAAGTTCTTTCAAAT